GTGATGTCACAAATCATGCTGATAGGCCCCGTCCCTAAAATCAGATTTTTAATGAGCTCAGAGAAACTTTCCACTTTCAGCAGATGAATGTGAAAACCTCCTTCTAGTGTCAAACTCTGCACTTACATCATTCTGCACAGTGATAATAAAACATCACACTGTAGGAACAGGAAGAAAAACTGATTTTAAGTGAACAGGGACTTGAAGCAGAACTCACATGCAGTCCAATAGCCCGCAGCATAATGCAGCATTAAGCACAGGTTAGTGCAGTAAGGTATGCTAAACCCTGAGATCATTCATAGCTGGAACGATAATGAATGGGTCCAGTGCAGCATCAAGATGTTACCACCTGCACACACTCTGCCTGCGAGGGAAATGTACGTAATTCATATAGAAAGGTAACAATGCACAATAAGAGCATGTCATAACAGCTAACAAAAGACATAAAAAAGAATCTGTGAGCACAGCAGGTCTCTGAAATTCTATGTCATTAAATAGTGTTATAAAGTGGAATTATTTTGCAATACCTATGCATTAACAATACCTATAATACTATACCTATACAGCGTAATATTATATTTTGTCTTGAGGGGATTTAGGGTCAACTTTGTAAAGCAGTCTTTGAACTGCAAACTGGCCTATTTACCTCACTTCAAGCTTCGTGAACCTTGGTCAGCAAACTCAAATATACCCTGTGATACATCAAAAAACACAGCATCTCTCAACAAACAGCGAACGTTGAAGACTATATGTACTTACCTACAGACACAAAAGGGCCATTGACCTTCAGAATGAGTGTTTGATAACTGATTGGCTGGTGGTGAGAGACGTGTCAGCTCATCCAACATATGACCCAGAATATGAAAAAAGGGAAATCCAGTTTGTGGCTCTGTCTGCTGGTGAGATTATTTTAAATATATTGCAGCAGTCACCAAAGCAGAAAACCTTTCTCTCTTAGAATAAGAAAGAGGAAGAAAATAATGCTGACAATACTTTCCAACTTCAGATTGCTTCTTAACTCTACATTTTGTGTAGAAATTTTATTAAGACCTTGAATACAATATGTTGGATATAATTTATGTCAATATACCTATTATCTGTTTGTTTAAAGCTGATTGATCAATACCTTTATATTGAGAATGGGTCAGATGAGCCGGTGACCTTACTGTTTTGGTTCAGTCTTACTGCTCTCATCTACCTTGTTTGCAGCCACAGCCGGCAGCTGTTTTCACCAAAAAAGCCACAGTACACTAACTGTCCAGCATTAAGTTGTAGACAGCAGGGGCGTTTCCAGAGGGGGGGGGTTGTGGTGATTGGCCACCCCAAGCGCTACCCTATAATCCTTACCTCTTCCACTCAGTTGTCTATCAGTAGTGGGATAGATGACCTAACACATCCACTGTTATCAATGGTATAATGCTAGCCTGTGGGGAAGGGGGGCAAATAACGCTCCAAAGTTTTTAAAATTCTGGCAAAGGAAAAACTGGATCCTTTGACCTGTGACCTCTGTGAGACACATACTCCATCCCCCCTTTGTACGTTGCTCCATATCTGCTGGATGTGTAAATAGGCTTTTTTTTTTTGTCACCATGTTTGCATATCAACTTCAGAAGATGTCAATGTTGTGTTTACAACTTATTGCACTGCCCCCTAGTGACCAAACACCATGTTGAACTGCCATGTTTCTACGGTAGACCAGATCACCACCGTAGTTTCTCATTTGTGCTTGGAAGGGGAGGGGAAGTGAGGGAGTTGTAGTCTTCAACTACACTGCTAGATGCCACTAAATATTACACACTGGTCCTTTAAGTGGTTTTAGTACTTCAAGTTTTCATCATTTAAAATAAATATCTATTGATAGTAACAGACTGCATGCAGAACATTCAGATATGTATATACAGTGGTGGATTATATGAAATGTAATGTTATATATATATATATATTTACAAAATTGTATTTTTTTTTAACTTGGTACCATTTGAGGCCACCAATTCACAGTGATATCTCCTTCCATCTAATTCCATATCCTTGTTTCCATTCTGCTGCCCTCTTCTTTCAACTTAACTCGTCCATCAAAGATCCTTTTCCTTCATGTTTTCTTCTTCCTCATCTTCTTCTCCCTTAGGGAATTGAAATTCCAGCAGCTTCACTCCCCTCCCTGAACCTCTTTCTTCCTCCTTCTCCTCCCACTCTCCCTGCCTCTCCTACCTTCCTCCCTTCCCTCCCTCATCTTTTTCTCCTTTCTCAGTTCAGTTCAGTTTGATGTGCTGTTAAGTCCAGTTGAGTTCTTGCTTTTCTCTCTCAAGATGTCCTGGACTCGAGTCTTTGTGCTCTCTTCGCTCACCACCCTCCTCATCCTCACCTGTGAGTACCTTGTCTGGGTGGGTGGAGAAAAAGCTGGGGTGACGTGTGTATTTTTGGATTAAACTTTCTCAGGGGAGATAAGCAGAATAGTTTTGATGGTATAATTTACTGACATGTGCTGTCATCCTTTAATATGGAAAATCTGTCAGAGGTTGTAAATTCCACATTTATCCTTAAATTAATAATTATTATTAATAATAATCAATGTGCACAATAAATGCATACAATTAAATTGACTTAAATTGAGATGTCCAGTAATCTTAGTAGTCAGCATGAATCTCAGTTTCCATGATGAAATATGTGTCCAGAGGACAGCTGTGACCCAGACTATCAGTGAACTAACAGAGTGTGGTATAGATAACAGATGACAATGAGCAACACAAATCTGAATTCAGCCTTTTCCAGATGACAGTGAGTAAAGTGGAATTTGATAGAAGGCCTTGCGAGGAAAGATATCTTCCAAATTATCATAACTATGAAAAATGATGGTTAGAGATATTTTAATCTTGTTTCATTGTGCCACATCGATCATTTGTAATGGGACAATTTTTGCCCATGCAACCTTCCATATATTGGAGACAACAGAGATCTGCCTGCAATACTAATCTTGTGTCGCTCAATTTCTGCAGTCGGAATTCTCATCCTTCATTTTTTTGTTATTGTGTCGCCTTGACAGACATGATCAGTTTTTAAGTCTTTCAAAATCAAACATCAAACACTGGCTAACATTAAGAAGTGGGAGGCTATCATTTCTTATACACATAAATATTAAAGTACACATTTACAAATCTCAGTATGTACAAAGAGACAGTTTCAAAACGTTCAAGATACCAATAGTATTGTTACAATATCAGCCCCATACACTTGTAAAGTCAATTTCTAATTTTCCTCATACTGTAGTTTCCAGTGTGGTGAAAAGTGCAGCAGTCCGGGACAACTCTAAAGCAGGCGATCCTAAAGGTGATACCTGTTCAACCATTTTGTACTATTACACATACCTTTGCTCCGCATGTCCTCACAACGTGACCTTCACCTTCTGACCTCTGACCTTTAGGGGCAGCACGGCATGTGTTCATGCCCGAGTCGGACGCCTCCAACTTCTTCAAGCGCCGCAGTCGCCGCTCACCCCGATACTATGCTGAGCTCCAAGGTAAGTTCCTCTGTTTAGCGTGTACTGAGATAACAGCAGTTGTCTGCCAGGAAGAAAATGTTTTGTCTACTTAAAGGCTGTCAGTTTCGCTGGCAGAAAACCAGCAGGATCCTAAAGTGTCTGGTCTGTGGTTTGAAGATGGGGGTTGGAGGGTTATATTTATTTATATTTGTGTGGTTGACGTGCCCCAGCGTTGTGGACAGTCTAAAATACGGCATGTTTGGCCTCCCATAGTGAACTTGTGAGTGTTTAATGGTTTGTAGTTTGACTCTGAGGATGATATGGTTTGAGGTTTTGACTGCAAGCTGGGGAAGTTCAAGAGAGAAATAGAGAAAGAGTAATGGAAACTCAAGCAGGTGTTGCTCTATACAGTAGCTGCTCTTAAATCTGACACACACACACACACACACACACACAAGCTGGAGGCTGTAGAAGGAGTCACAGGGTAGTATGGAGCAGGCTCTCCCTCACTCAGTTTCTCTGTACAATAAGTTCATTCTTCCACTGCCAGCATCCTGTACGATACACAACGCCAACACACCTCAAACTAAATCGAACAAACACACAAATGAGAGGTGTTTCAGGACACAGGAACTTATTATCATACTCTATCACCAAAATAGCTTTTCCAAACCCAAAAACAAGGATTCCAGTATTCCTTTAGCTGAGATAAAAGCAAGAAAATGGCCAGACTTACCAAAATGTTGCTGACAACACTGATTTTCATCTTTTCAGTGAAGTATGTCCTTGGTAATTCAACTGTTTTGCTGGTGGAAAACCCATCAGAGAAGTCTATGTGTGCCGCTAAACAGGCCTCCCGAGACAGGTCATTTCACCTTGCTCTGCAAACAGGCTCACATTCCAGGAAGAAAAATAAAACACTTAGAGAAAGATTCATTATTTTCCTCGCCAGCTCGGTTCATGAGAACATGAGGGGGCAGATGTGTGACTGTTTGTAAGGAGTTTGTTTAGACCTTAATGCAAGGCTCTGGGGCTCCGTGCTAACAAATCACACTGAGGCAGAGTGTTTGAGATTCTACCTCAATAGTTTGTTGTGGTTTGTCAGGTTTGTTTCATTATTTCATATAATCTTTTTTAACCTGATTTAGTGTAAGATCAACATTTACTGAGGGAAAATAGATATTTCATCCTTGCTGCATTGCTCCATCTTTCAAAAGACACAACACACAAATTGGGTATATCCAATATTTCCAACAGATGTTGGATGATTGCATAACCAAGTGTGACTTCAATGCAACTTTCTTATAGCCATGGTTGTCTTTTCCAAACATTTTATGGTTTTCCCTTTTACCCTATGATCTGTTATTCTGAAGTCAATGAGAATTGGTTAGGAAAGACAAAGGACATTATTTTTTTAGACATTGATAAAAAACCTAGTTTTATCATCTTCTCATTAGATTAGGCTCATGCTATCACATCTAATGCTAGCACATTCAATAAAGCAGGCTGAATCCTGATGAGAAAATAAAAACCCTATTACAGGATTACAGGTTCTGTCTCTAATAAGTTCTCACAAAAGTAAATAGAAGAAGAGGCACCACAAGGGGAAAATAGGACAAGAGTCCGAATTAGGATGGGAGAAAGAGAGAGAAGGTAGTGTGACAGTGGATGTGATCCATGTTTCCTGCGGTACAACTAAGCCCCAAATCAATGGGCTATTTGAAGGGAGAATAGGTATGCTGAGTGCATGTAGGTCTGTGTTTACATGAAATGCTGTGATGTAATCCTTACACTTTTCATAAGCTTGTTGTGATTCAAGTAAAATGAAGGACTTAAAGGAAAACACAAACAGTGCAGTAATGTCTAATGTATACAGTGGCTGCCCTGTACCAGGATGGGTGGGGATGTTTGGTTTTGCACAGTGATGGAGCAGGAGGGAGGTGCAGCTGTTTACACAAATTTCTAATGCATTACAGTAAGTGGTATGGGTTACCCACATTTGTTTGTTTTTAACACCTCGCTAAACCCAATATACACTCTTGTAAATGCTGTCAAGGCTGGACAAAGTGAAATTCTCACATGATGATGAAAAATCACAGGATCACCAAGGTTTAACAGATCATCATGAGGGGGGCCATCTGTGTACCAGATTTCATAGCAATCCATCCAATAGTTGATGATATATTTCACTCAAAACCACAAATGTCAAACTCATGGTGGCTCTAGAGGAAAAGTCTCAGGATCATCAAAGTCATTACATTTCATCCTCTGGGGACCAGGGACGTCTGTACGAAATTTGGTGCCAATACATCCAGTAGATGTTGAGATATTTCAAGACAAGGGAAAACTTTTACCTTCTGGTGAAAGGAAAGGTCAAGGAATCAGTCATTACGATTCATCCTCAGGGACCATGAATATCTGTACATTTTATGTCAAGCTGTCAAATAGCTGTTGAGGTGTTTCAGTCTGGACCAAGTGACCAATTAACAGCCATGCCACTAACATTGCTTAAAAATCCCACAGCAGTCAGTACACATGGTTGTTTAAGGAAGAACAGTAGTGTCTGCACCTGCTTCATCTATCAGTATCATGTGAGTGGGTGTAAACAGATAAAATGTTTGGATTACTCCTGAGCTCACCTTTGTTCTTCCTTCTCTCTCTACAGCCGAGCAGAGGGTAAGGCTTTCTGTAAACGAGCAGAGGAGGGAGTACAATGAGGAGCAAAGGAATGAGTTTGAGAACTACGTTGAGGAGGAGCGTGATGGTAAGACCTGGATGCAGTTTTCAGTTTCATTTTAAACGCTTTCCTCTTCTTCTTCGTTTGAAATAAAGGTAAAGTCATCAGAATGCATGAATGATAAAATGGCAGACAAACAAAAGCAATAAATTCTAACTTTTGTGCCTTCCATCTAACCTTCATTTTCATACCTTCCTAAGAGCACTGAAAATACAAACACTTATAGCTGCAGTAGGTCATTTTTATAAAAATATTTTTTTTTGTCATATTTGCTGAAACTTTGACAATATCCTGATAGTAGAACATGAGACAGATATTCTGTGAAAATAGCAGCTTCCTCTGGCTCCTCCTAGTGCTCCTAATGGCATTTGTAAGAATCCATCGGGCATGAATGAAAACAACCAATCCGAGGCGTCAAATACAGACACTTTGGGACCCTGGTAATGAGACTCAACAATCAACTTCAAGCCTCCAACCCAAAGCGTTGTTGTATCGTTCTCGGCTCTGATTGGTTGTTTTCGTTCAGGCCCGGTTGAACAAGCAATTTCAGCAATGATGATAAAAAAACCTACTGCAGCTTTAACATCTCAAAATCACTGTTCCGAGACACTGAATGAAACAGAAAAACAAAGCATACATTGTATCAGTAAACATAAGCTAATTTAGCACCTTATCTCACGTTGTGAGGGCTAACCTTAATTGATCCTTGCAAAAAACCTGGCATTT